GTCCATTCGAACCAAATGGTTGGACCGTTCAACCTAGGAATGGTCCCCATAATAATTCTGTTTAGTCTAGTTTTTAAAACCTTGGCCAATGTTTTAAAAACTGAACTAGAGGTTGACTCCTTTTCATGCAAATCGGCAAATTTTAAAAATCGCCAACCCCCACCCCTACAACAACTAGGGGTCAGATCCAAATAGATTTGGAACCGGCCAATAAGAAACAATAAAGACCCATAGCTGAATCGGACCTGATAGGGTCTGTAATTTTAGACCCATAATTGAATCTATCGGTTTTTAGGACAATCGGGTTTGACCCAATTGGACTTAATTATAATAATCCTACTAAAAATGTTATATATACATACACACACACACACACACACACACACACACACACATATATATATATATATATTCAATTAATATAACTTGAGTCGGGTTTGAATCGGTTTGGGACTAGGTGAGACCAATTTCAAACCAATAAGAATCGAGACAATATATCAAGAAACGAAACTGACCCAATTAGTTTGGGTCTATTGGGTTAATCAACCCATTGACTACCCTACCCACAACACAACATTCACATGTGAGGGAAAATGGAGGTTAGACAAAGTTTTCTATAGCGTATTTAAAAGTTGGGTTTGAAGTAGGTTTTTTTTTGGGATTTTGAAAGGAACCTATGTTCTTTTTTTTTTCAGATTTATATGGGGATAAGGAAAAGTTTATTTTCCTGGGTATCACTTACGTAAGTGACAACCATCTGCAAAGTGGGTAAATAACTTTCTCACTTGAGGGAAAGTTGCCAACACTTTGATGAGACAAAAATGCCCCTATCGAAAATTGAATTTTTATGGCTAAAGTGGTCATTATTTTATTTACCTGGAAAACAAAAAAATATGGGTAAATGCACTTACCTGGACAAATGTTTCCCAAGAAACACTTACCTAAATAACCAACTTACCAAAAAGCAAACGGAGCCTTAGGTTAAAGTTAAAAAGTACGAACCCTAACTTCAGGATGGGTTAAGATTGAGGCATGGGCATCCAATCATATAAACAAAGTAGATAAATAATTCCACTTTTAAGCCCAATCTGAAAATCCAATCTAAACAAATTAAATCTAAGTCTATATGTTAATCCATGTGTAAAAATGAACCAATTATTAGAAAAAGCGCCAATTTGAGGGATGACTCAATTGGTATATTAGTCGGTTTGTTCTCAATAGAGATACGGATTTGATTACTACAACCATTGACTTTTGGGAAGGGAGTTATTAGTATGGTTCTTAAAACCAATCTGGAGATCAAATCAGTCAGAGGTCTAGATATCGGGTCGAATGGTCGGACGATTCGAACTGAACAGTTGGCCTATTCTGACAAAAAAATTAAAAAAAAAATGGTCAAAACCATTCGAATGGTTTGAATGGTTAACTACCCAGGTCAGCAATTTGCTGACCAAAATCAACGGTTTTTTTAAAAAAAAATCTACTTTTGGGGAAAAACCAAAACCGGTTACCAGACCGATTCCCAATTTTTTTTTTGTCTGACCATCCGGTCCGGTCCGGTTTTGAAAACCATGGTTATTAGTGTGGTGCTGCACTATTCAAATTTCCCCTGTGGGAGATTCGGTGTATATCCAAAATACCGAAGGAGAATCATCAAGAAAAAAAAAGAAAACCATTTATTTTTAAATTTGACCATTGGTTGAGAGATCAATATAATAAGGTGATGTCACATTTGAAATAGGGTTGTTAACGGATTGAGACTGGATTAGATCAATGTAAAACCAATTCCGAATCATTGGGACAAAATCACAAACCCAAAACCAGTTGCAAGTCATTTTGTGAGATCTGCAAAGGGCCAAGTCTGGACAAGTTTCTCTAATCAGACATTTTCTATTATAACAAATAGTACTTGTTTTTTGGTGGACGAAATACACAAATATATTTGCAAGATTACAATGATACCCCTCTCTTCAACCTAATCCCTTATGAACCAAAATTTTGGAAATAGGCTCATCCATTCACCCGAATTGAATTGTTGGTGGGCTGTGAGATATTTTTTTGGTAAGTGGGTTGTGAGACTAGTGTACAGCAGTAGGTGGAATAGGAGAGATAAATAAAATACAAGTATTTTTGTTATATAAACAAATTAATAGGATAGATCGATAGAATGTAGATTGATGAGACTGGGTTATTTTTGGGCATTGAAAAGTAACAATGGCTGATAGTAAACCATTTTTAATAGAAAAGTGAAGAGAAGTTATAAATTATAACCCTAATTTAGATGATCATAAATACACTACTTTTTTTGATGGGAAAATATATATTCATTATAAAAGAAAAAATGACACAAGACTAAGTCGAAAGCACACAAATCGAAGGCAAGCAAACTTAAAAAAACTAACCTTACTCACACAAAGCTTGTAACCCAAAGTTTTTAAAACCATATTGAATAGGGAACCATTATGGGGACTGGTTTTCGGGGTGAATGGTCCAATACTCATGTTTGGGTCAATGGTTCAACCGCCCAGATCAGCGGTTTGTTGACAAAATCAACGGTTTTTTGGCCGAAAAGTGCTTTTGGGGTGAAACAGAACCAGTTATCTGACCAGTTCCTAATTTTTCTGATCCGACTGTCTATAATCTGGTCCGGTTTTGAAAACCATGTTGTAAGTTGTAACCTACGTCTTCTAAAGACTTGGACAACAAAACAGGAAGAACACCCTCAAACTCAAAAAAAATACACAAAGCCATAACTAACCAACAAGTGAGTTGACCTATTGAAACTTCTAGGGATAAAAAGAAAAGAGACTTCCAAGATTCCACAAGCAATCTTATGTGGAATCTTATTGTCCTCTAACAGGAACCCAACTTTTTTGGGAGGAACACAATTTCTTTTTTGCAAACAATCAACCAATGACGATAACTTTAGACAAGGGTCTTTTTTTAAGATTTCTTAAACCAAGGTTTTTAAAACCAATTCGGACAATGAATCAGTCAGGGGTCCGGTTCCCGGGTTAAATGGTCTAATTGTTTGAACCGAACGGATGACCCGTTCTGACAACAAAAAATAAAAAAATAAAAACTGGCCAAATCATTGAATGGTTTGAACGATTCAATCGCCCGAATCAACAATTTTCTGATCAAATCAATGGTTTTTGGTGAAATAACAGTTTCGAGGTAAAATGAAACCGGTCACCAAACTAGTTCCCGATTTTTCCAGTCTGACCGTCCGGTTCAGTTTGGTTTTGAAAACCATGTCTAAAACTTTCAAGAATCGCCAAAACTTTTGCATGCAAAATGCCCTTTTTGATATATTGCTAGGAATCAAGATATTTAGATAGATAGTTCCATCTGTAATTTATTTATCAATAGGGCATTAAGCTCAAGTAGAATAACCTTAAAATTAAATAAATTGAATATGAAAGTATCATATTGCTTTTGGACGATCATATATTAAACATGAAGGTGAGGGCCAATATTGATAAAATACAAATTGAGCCAAAGTTGGTATTCATAAGAATTCAGTATATATGTAAATTGTTAAAAGGACTACTTATGCCATTCTACATCTGTCATTAAGATCCTTTAGATTATGTTTGGTTTGAAAGAAAAGGTAGGATAGGAAGGGAAAGGCAGGGAACCTATGCAAGGTTTGTAAAAGTTCCCTACCTTTCCCTACTTTTTCATTCAAACCAAACACAGCTTTAGGGATGACCCCTATTTGGATCTTCAAATCGGATTCGGATCGCCCCTATCCGATCCGAGAAGATGCAATCCGATATATGTTATATATTTATTTATATAAATATATAATACATATATATGTTATTTGTTTATAAACATATTATTTATATTGTATTTTTGTAAATTTGTAATATATTTAATTTTTTAAAAACATGTATATATGATGAAAATAATTAAAATAAATACTTGTATCTTGTGTTTTTCTTTATTTAAATTGGTTTATTTTATTTTTCTTTTAATGATTTATTAATTTTAAAGAAAACAAATTGGATTGGATCAGATCCGAAGGTCTGACTTCCCAATGAGATTCAAATTCAGATCCTTGTCTATCAGATCCAATCAGAATTTTGGATCGGATCGAATCCGTCATGAACATTATCGAATCAGATTCAGATATACCCTGCTTCAAATCCGATCCAATCCAATTGTATACTTTTCTGTTCTATGCTTAATAAAATACCACTTATTTATCAAAAAATATAATAGTTGATCTCCTTGACCTTCAATATGAAGTCGGGGTCCAGTCTTTCGGAGGTTGCTTATAAAGAAGGCCAAATTATTCTGTATGGCTAAACAATTCTCTCTGGTGATAGATCCAACTTAAAAAACCCAATTCAAGAAATTTAAAGTCCCTCCCTCCCCAGCTCAATCTCTCTTAACCATTGGTGATTGTGTTCCACAATCCACCTCCTTCAACTTCCCCAATGTCTGACAATGGATTCTTGTGCCGTTGTGCGATCCTATTGCTTACTCCCTGGAATGTACCACACCAACCATTCACCTACAAGACTGGTCTCCTAGTCATCAACTCATCATAGATGGATAGTATTGGAGTGATATCAATGGTTCCTAATCTCCTTGTCACGGTTGCTTGCCATGCCTGATTCAATTTGTTTTTATTCCCTATGGCCTCAGGCAATTTAGATCTTGCAATTTGCACTTTCCTTGAGACTGTCCATGATGCAGGATTGTTTTCTGTTTACAGTATGTATTAGATCTTGTGTTTGCAGAAAAGAAAATTGGGGCCTTATTTAATCCTTTTAACACTATTGTTTAACTACCAGCTAATTAATTATCTTGTTTACAGTGGGTTTCTTGTCTGGTTGCATAAGCTGCAACCTGCAGGGAATTGAGCTTAATTTGTCATCCTAACATAACAAGATTACATCAAGAGGCCTGAAGCAGCAACAACGATTGAGTGTGTTGGGTGAAAATGAGTTCTGTATTAAATCGAATATCATGAGAGAGAGAGAGAGAGCAATATACAAATCAAAACTTCCATTCATAAATGTTGTGTAACTGATCTCATGAACATTTTGCCTCTGTTGTTATCTTCAAAGATCAAATTCTGATGAGACTATATATCGCGGTCAAAATTAAATGAAAAATTTGATGCTAAGCAGTTCTCCACCCTCAAGCGACCCATGAGACGATACAGCTTGTATATGGCTCAATAACCACTTGTTCTTGGTAGCTTAATTCCAGACGTTCTTCGTAGGTTCTTTCATTGGACTTCCTTTTACCTTGCACCAGCATCTTCATGTTCAACCTGACAATGACAAAACAAAAATTTCAGATTTTAGTTTGGTTAGAAGGAATTTCTTAACGATAAAAACAATAGAAAAGAAGTGATTGACCATCAATTGCACCGTGGTGTCCACCTTCCAGATGCATAGCTATAGAGTTGCCTAGTGAATAGATTGCATATTTCTCTCAAGTAGGTCATTTAACCAAGTTGGCCACTAACACAAACTTGTTATTTCTCATTTATGGGAGAAACCTCTGTAGTATAACACTTCAAAGTTGCATACATTTCCAAGAGGATCTCAATCAATAATTGATATACTCTTTCAGAGTCAGGTTGATGACCACCTTTTCCCTTTGATTCTTCTTTTTGTTCCTTAGTAGTGAGATATGATGCATGTGTGCGTGGGTGAACCATGTCCTTTTGCATGCTTGTGCAATACAGTGAAAGTAGCTTTTCATGTGCATGGATGTGGGATAACAAGAATGTGATAGATATTTACCTCAATAATCACCGTTGCTTTCTTCTTCAACTTCGTACCAGGTTCCTCCCTCTCAATATTTCGCTGAGAACCTATTCTCTCCCTCTTCCAATGAACTGCTTAGTCCCATTATTAGCTCATCATCACCATCTTCACCAACGTCATCTGCATCATCACTAACTAATCTTGTTCAATCCATTATCAGAACCAGAACATTCTTTTGGATACATGTTGGTGAGTGGGTATCCATGCATAAAACATGGGCATGCACGAATATATAGCTATTTACAAGAAAAAATTAAGACTTAGTACCGTTATTAGCTCTGAATTATATGGTAGAAAAATTGAGATTGTGCTAGAGAGTTTAACATTGTCAAGAGTTCAATATGAATAATGCACACACAGAACCTCTATACCTTTGTACTCATAAATGCATGTCTGAAGTAAAATCCTTACTATATAATGCTGATGTTTGACTTAGCCTCACATCAAGACCACCATTACTTTGGTCCATTTATTTTCCAATTCTCTTATTTTACAGTTAAGATGGGTCTTCACCAAGGTTCAACAATTAGCCCCTATTTAGCACTGATCAATTGACTAAAAATGTTCAGGAGGAGGTCCCATGGTGTATGTTGTCTGATGATGACATTGTTTTCATTGATAAACCAATGAACGGTTAAATGTGAAATTAAGTTTGACAACAAATAACTTAGAAACAGGATGTTTGAAAATAAGTAGGACTATAACATAATATATGCTATGTAAATTTAATAATAGGTGTGCAAATCAGGGTACACCGTACACTTAGGATTGGAGACTCAGTGTTTTAAAAGCGCAAGGGCCAATTTGCGTCTGAGGCGTTTAAAAGCGTAAGGGCCAATTTGCGCCTGAGGCGCAAGGGCCAACTTGCGCCTCACAAGGCGAGGCGCATTCCTTTTTAAGCAAGGCACAAAATTACAAAAAAAAAACGGTCAGAAAATTCAAGAAAGTGCCAAAAATTTGAAAAAAAAAGCAAAAAATTCAAAAAATATTATACATAATGTTTATAAAAAAATATAAACTTAAATTTTAAAATAAATGTTTAAAAAAACCTATTATCTAAAATAAAAATACATAAACATGGCCTGCAAAGCGTATTCGAATGAAAATTTAAAAATAAAAGCAAACATATAAAGCATTTTCAAGCATGTGAAACCCACTGTCTCTTTTTTCCTTAATTGCATTGCTTCAAATAGCAAATGTGATGTAAAACATACTGCATTCTTGATTCTATGAGTCGCCTTTGTATCACACCCCTCGAGGCAACCCCGAACAAGTTTATGTTAGGGTCTGAAATTCTTAATTCCCGTATAAAAAATAATGATTGTATAACTTTCATTGCCTTATAAGAAGATATTTTATTGCAATGAATGGATGAACAACAATGGATAGATTGAGGAGGATGCCACCCATAGAATTAGAGCATGATGGGAAAAAAATGGAAGGCTGCATCCAAAGTCTTATGTGATRGATGAATATCACTTAGATTAAAAGGAAAATTCTAAAAATAGTTGTAAGGCTAGGTATGCTATGTGGAGCAAAATGTTGGGCAAACGTGTATGCAGAGATGGCTGAGTGGAAAAACTAGAAAGAATAGGGTCAGAAATGAAGTCATTCAAAGGAACCCAAAAGTGGCTCCAATAGGTGACAAAATGAGAGAAAGTAGACTTACAATGGCTGTCGTGTACATAAGACCAATGACAACACCCATAAGAAGTGATCTGCTTCAAGTTGAATGGGCTAGAAGGGCTAGAGGTAGTAGACCAAAAAAGATATAGGTCCAAGTAGCAAGAAATGGTTTAAGCACTCATAATTTAACAATGGATCACATATAGTTAGGCTAATGCTTGAATGATGATGAGATTGGCAATAAGAATAAAAGATGTTTGCATTACCAGAATCATCATCCTTCAAAGACTTATCAATTGCAGGGCCACCAAAATCTTCCATATCTTCTTCTTCTTCAAGTTCCTCATAGCCTTCTACATATTCTATCTCTGGTTCCTGCTCATGTCAGCATAGGACACAATGGTATTCACATTATAGATC